CTTGAATATGTTTCAAATGTTTTGAAACAATGGATAAACGATAAATTTAGATTGCTATTTGGAATACCATTGGTCGTTGTTTGGTTTTCATTTCAAACTTGTGACAGTACAATAAGGTGACATAATGGAACAGTTTACTATTAATGCCGGAACACAATTAAAAATATTTTTCTGTAAACAATTAGATTAGAATAAAGATTTGCGACACAATTTGCTAAACTACATTATAGCTAGATCAAATTATCAAGATAAAGATCAATGTAGTCGGATTGTTACACAATAGTTGTACAAAAGACGAACTCCTAAACCATGTGGTAAATTTGAGGGTATATGGTGAATAATCTTAAAAGCTTTATTTAAGTCAACTTGATGACCTGTGCCCACCAAGTGAGCGAGAATATAACTCTTAATCACTCCTACCTGTCCTTCGCTCAACCAAGACGAATGATCTTCCGCTGTGCGATGATGAACTTCCCGAATCGTTCACCCTATATAACTGCCTTCACATGAGCAGTTGAATTAGTAAATACACATGGATGTGGCAAATCTAGATAGTCTGTTATCATTAAAGATTCTTATCATGGGGTGGTTTTTTAAAAATGGCAGATGCGAGAATTAAGGTTTCTATACGCCTCTTTGTTAGTTCATTGCAAATCGACTATTTCAAGTATGGAAATGTTAGTGAATAAAAATGATAAGGACTAGAATTAATCATATTCAATTAATTTCCTATTTTTATCTAACAATATTTAAAGGAAAGTCATCCAGTTGGTAATGATGTATTATGGGCATGTCTTTTGGGACATCGACTTGGTCCTGGAGCATTACAAGAAATATTAAATCATGTTATACGTAATATACATTGTCCTACCTTATTGACAGATATTCTACATCGTTGTCGATCTATACCATGTGGAGTTCATATAAATTCGACAAATTGTAATATAAATATGAATAATAACAATATCAATGGAATAGATTCATCATCATCGTCATCATCAATGATGATGATGAATAACAATATGACTAATTCAATACCATCAGTTGGTGGACGTAAGTTATACATACAGTTGATTTTTATCATATAATGTATAATTTAATCCAATGTATTAACCAAATCTAGATCCATTTAGCTTGAAAGCGCACAGTTTATATGATCAGTTTAATAGAGTGGTACTGTGGTGTTTACTACTGATGTCGACAGATATAAGTAGTATGTATCACCAATCGAAAGTGGAATGCCTCACAGCAGCAGAAAGTTGAGAAAATCGAAGAGAACGAGAACAGAGAGTGATTGGTATAGAAATGAAGTCTGAGACAATTGATTGACATTTTACATATAAATATGGTTCTCAGATTTTACTAAGAGATTCTGTAGTTTTGTATTCAAATACATTTGGTTGTCCCCGCCTAAATAATTACCATGGTAGGCTAGGATTCAAACCTTCCACTTTATAGATAAATGTTGACTTCTCTTAATTCCTGTAACTCATCAATCAAATATGCATTTATATAATCAGCTTAAAGGTACATTGTTTTATACAACCAATCTGAAGTAGGTGAGATATAATTCAAACTTTATAGCCAAGGAGTTGGAAGTCGAGTTCTTCTAATGTTAAATTACTGAATTTCATCTTATGTGCTACATCTGTTATGAAGCTGTCGTTTTGTGACCAGTATTTGAAAAAAATTAGTAATGGTTTGAAGTAACATTTCACACTAACTACTAACAAGTAGTAAGTTTGTTTAAACGTCATCATATTGATACTAGTTATCTCATTTAATTCTATACACGTTTACATTTTTTTCAGGTGGTAATTCGTGTGCAACACACTTTTGCAATCCAACACCACACTATGTTAATAATAATAATGGTACCAGTGTATCAGGGTGTACGGGTAAAATGCTTAGTTTAGATCGACCACCATTGAAGGGACTATTAGATGCGGCTATTAATGGATTTGTTATGGCTACACATATGCGACTAGCAAATATTAGTCCACGTCAATATGCAGAATTTGTTGATTTTTTAACACGAGCCAGAGACACATTTCATTTACTTAGACCAGATGGACCATTACAATTTCGTAGTTTGGTTGAATGTTTAAGACAAACTTATCGAGGAAAACGAAAACTGGTGTCATTATTATCTGAACGATTCGGTTGATGAGTTATTGCAATTCGTATATATAAATAAAACTTAGTAAGTATCTACGCTGTTTTCTACTAACTTTTTTTGATGCCTATTCGGACTGTATAATTAATTGCCTATTTTTAAAAATGTGTATTCTGGTGAACAATTTAGACTGAAACGACGCAGTGATAATGTCGAACTGTGAGGCTCAGTGACACTGTTCAAATCCCATAGAAAGCATCAATTACTTTGCTGACGAGGGTCAGCTAACACTAAACCTCTGGAAGAAAACTTTCCTGCGGGACTTGATTATGTAAACGCATAAACATTAGTAAAAGGAGGCACCAAATATATATTCATCATCCGATTTGTTTGAGGGCTGTAATACTCTCTAGGTGCCCAAATCGAAGCAGGTGGTTTTCTTAGGGACCCACTTCCCGAGCCTTTGATGTAGAGGTCAAGGCAGTGGGGCAATGTTAGGAGATGCAGTCCCATGGTAGCCAATGACCCACAATAGGTTCATACGCCTTTTGTTCGCTCAGGGTCATGAAGCGCTTGTGCATCATTGGCTTGGAATATCAGGGTTTCCAAACTCCACTAGGTGGATCCTCTGTATCCTGCTGGACTGCCTTCAATCGACTTGTATATCAACAAAGTGAATTACGGTTAGACTATAGTTATTCACTTCAATGCATGATACTTTAGGAAAAATTGACCATTCAAATATTTTATATAGTTGAAATTATGAGTCAATTGAAGCTAAACCTGGGAGTACTAAAGACAATGGTGGACGGTTGCTCAATTTCGTGGAATGGTTGAAGTTAGACATTAACACAGTTGGATGCCGGCTCAGTGGTTCTAGAGGTTAAGCGTTCGCGCGCGAGACCGATAGGTTCTGTGTTCGAATCTCGTGAGGCGGGATCGTGGATGCGCACTGCTGGGGCGTCCCACAATAAGACGAAACGGCCGTCCAGGTTTTCCTTGGTGGTCTAGCTTTAATTGACTGATGCTTTCAATTACATAAAATCTCCACATAACCCCCTCCTAATATTCAATTATTTATCAACAATAATGTAGTATAATTGAGGATTTTTGTCTTATCCCATACTCCTTATTCAATATACTTGTCATATTTCTTGATCAACTTTACAAGAGACATATTTCGAAACCAATTTGTTTGACGCGTGATCGTTGAATGTCTCCTTTTTTCCGTGGAAAAACCTTCACCGATAACTTGCAAAATTATGACGATCATCACTGCCAAACATACTGATTCAATAAGAATCAAGTGAATATTTGTATTCTTATCTAACATATTGTAAACTTCTAAATATGTTTAGTTGGATAACGTCCAGATATTATTGGTAATGAATAGGTCGGACAATGTGAAGAAGATTCCAACCATAATTTTTTGTACCTAGAGATTTATTTAACAAGAAACTAACATTTATTTTCACTTTACGAAGTCTTAACGTATACTCTACATACATTCATTAAGAACATGTAACACATATTCTTTCTTAGAAGATTTTAATCAACTTTCAGATATATAGTTTCAAAGCATATTCTCATACTGATACACTCTAGTGTAAATCGCATTACACATAATTTAAACAAACTGTAGTCTTATTAAATGGGGGAAAAGGAATTTGATATTTAAAAGTATGATTATACTGGAACTTATGAAATTATATTTATATAATCTAAGAGAGGATAAAAAACAAATGACTTAAATGTCATTGTAGAAATGTGTGTGTTCACTCATTTTCGATAGATTAAAATGGATGCAGTTCTAAGTATGTTAGGAAAACGGTAATACTAATTTTTGAACATTTGGAATTGATAGCAAGTTATGTGTTGTTTATTATTTTTATTGTACAGCTTGCAGATCGACCACCAGGTCTTTTGGATAGTCGACTAATCTGACTGTACATTTATTTTCACTGTATCCCATATTTTATCCATGAGCATCGAAACAAAGCGATGACTCTGTGGAAAAAATGTGGGGAAAAAAATTCCACATGTGCTAAAACTTAACACCATCACCGCCCCCCCCCAATCACACCTCTCCATTATATGGCTATATTTTTATGCATATTGTAGTATACAAAGTTTGTTGTGTATATTATCAAATTTCTTTTTCATTTTTAGATCTACTTTTGCCTACACACATATACAAAGGATCAGCTGATTATTGATCGCCCCCCCCACAAGTTGTAAAACATTACTACTACTACTAATACTACTGATCACTGACTAACATGTTATATATTATTTATTACCTACCATACAACTCTTATTTGCCTCAAACTTGTATTAAAGAATCTATGAACAAATTAATATATACATATATCCATATATATCATTTGTGGATTATGGAAAGATTACGTCATTTTTGCTTTGGATGCTACATAATATAAGTGGTTGTATTTAGTTTCCGTTAACCTGTGGACCTCAGTCTCTAATTGGCATATGCGCATAATGTGCGTATTGCCTCAATATAGCCTTAATTCACAAGCATTGTAAGCAAAAATGGATAGTGGCTAGCAGTGCAATCCAGTTCGACGCGCGTTTCGTCCTATTTGGGACTCGTCAGCTGGATGTACCTGCATCTCAGACATGTTGATGTTCACTCTGGGACTCGAACCCAGTACCTTTCGCTTCAAACACCATTGCGTTATCTACTCGGCCACTGAGTCCTGATAGCCACTCGCTTGTGCGATGAGGTGAAGTTTAAATTTACTTAGTATTGTTTGTTTGAATCTTCTCATCGATGTGTTAAGACTGCAACTGGTCAGTCTCTATATTTGCATACCCACACCTTTATACGATATCACCGTTATCAGAAAGATGATAAAACACAAATGATAATGTAGAAAAGTTGTATGTACAAAGAAATAAAAAAGGCAAGCCTCAATACAATGTGAATGATAATGATGATGAAGTCTGAAACACATGAACAGAAAGAAAACTCATTCTTTCCTCCAACACTACCACCCCAGTATCAGTAAGCTGCAGGACTATTGATCATCATTCTTGGTGCAATTGACATTGACATTAATTCTTGGAATAATAATTTACAAGCATAAGGTAATTTCACTAAAGAAATCTATTAAGGTAATAAACAAAACAGAAAAAATGGAAATGTTTAATCATCAAATATAAAGAAAGCGTTATTTATGAGTAGTAGTGAATAGAACCAGTTTTATTTAATTATCAATGATGCCCGAGCTAAGTGAAATATGTGTTGCTAATCACATGTTGAACTAATTGAGTCTAGGATAGCAGAAATGATCCAAAGCATTACTTGTATATAATAGAATCATCAAATAAATAGTCGTGAGGCTTGGTGTTCAAATAAGACAAAAAACTGGACTAGTTCAGATATATACATAGATGTCCTGTTCGTCTTTTGTTTTATCCATCACTTGGTAGACATGCATAGAAAACAAATAATTAAGTTTTCCTGTTTTAATCAGTCTATTTACCCTATATGAATAGAAGATTTGCCATATGTTGCTAAAGGAATATAGACCGTTGTCACGTTCTGCTTGGTCATACCATGCACGCATATTTCTTGAGGAGGAAACTGCGTTAGTAATAGATGTATTAACTTTAGCGCGTGATCACAGCTGTTTGAAGTCGGTCACAAACAACTTCAGGAGCAATTTTTAATATATTAGTCCTTTACTTTCAAAACCATACCGCCGGCATAAGGTGAGGTGTGCCAATTCGTCTGAGAGGAACGCCTTATTGTTATTGCATCTTAATACGGTTAGCTTGGGTCCGCTGCTTTAATCCTTACCGCTTCTCTTTCTGACAATGGAAAACCTAAGACAACTATTGTCTAAGCCAATAAAGCTGTACTGATCCATTCTGGTTTTATAAGCTTAATGATTGTGTCAATGTCGGGTACAATCCTCTTAGATGAATAACATACCATTTATTCGATGTAAAAAAAAAATACAAGCATCATTAATATTACTAACCTGAGTTGTATTTTTACAGCTTCTACACTCATAAGTTTTATTCCGTTGATGAGCAATTGCTATAAGACCACATAAATTACACACATAAACTTGATATGGATCACTAGCAAAAAATAAACGTTCACGTAAAAATTGTGCTGCACCATGAGCTATTTGACAATCACGTTCCATTTCACCAAAACGTAGACCACCATCACGACTACGACCTTCCATAGGTTGACGATTAAGTATTTGTACAGGTCCACGTGAACGACTATGAATTTTATCATCAACCATATGTTTTAAACGTTGATAATAAGTTGGTCCTAAGAAAATTTGTGAATTTAATTTTCTTCCAGTAAATCCATTATACATAATTTCATTACCGGTATGTTGATAACCATATTCTTGTAAAAGCAATGAAATTTTACGTACATTTACAGCATCATTAAATGGTGTAGCATCACCAATTTCACCTTTATTTGCACTGACTTTACCCTAGAAACATACAGTCATTATATATATATTGAAAAAAACAACAACAAAATAAATGTCAGTAGGTAGTTTTATTACATAGAACTAATTTTTATAGACTGGAGGCAATGGAGAATGCTAGTCGGCGGCCTATGCTCCATTGGGAATAACAGGCGTAAGCCCCCAAATGCCCTGGTACGGCCGATAGTGGGGAGAGTCCGCTCTCCCTCTACAAATGCTCTCATGGCCACGCGTATATAGCCTATGCCAGGGAAGTTCTACTCACTGCCTTCTCGTGGCACCGGTGTTGTTTATGAAATTGAAAAGACGAAAAGCGAATGCAAGGCGCTTTAACCGGGTTGGTGGACACGGCGAGTCCACCTAGGGGAGTTGGAAAACCCTCATTCTAAACCAATAGTGCACATGGGCTGACTCCAATATCCTGAGGGAACAAATGGTGTATGAATCAATCGTTGGTCACCGTCTACCATGGGACTGCATCTCCTCAAGATGCTCCATTGCCTTGTGGATCAGATCTTCGGTGAAAAGGTCCGGGTGTGGACCCCTAAGAAAACCACCTGCTACAGTTTGGGCATCTAGGCAGTATCACAGCCCTCACACAAATCAAATGAGATTTGTGTGGCGCATATGTATCTGGAGTCTCTTTGTACCAATATTTATGTGTTCAAATAAAGAAATAAATAAAACAGACGTAAGTAAGTAAGGAGGCAACGGATTTATCTGTAATTTTTGGTTGAATTGAAATAATGTTAATGTTAGATTGCAAAACTTTATTCCAATCATCAAGTAGACTCTAAAACACTGACTCAGGCTTTCAAGTTGTAACTAACTAGTTATATATTTTTGACTATTAAAGATAAAGTTTGTGGTTAACAGGTCTGTTTGAACAACTAGACAGTATCTCAGCCATGATGTCGAATTACCAAGTCACTGCTTCGATGTACCCTCATTTAAACTGACGGATTACTGATATTACTAACTTCCTTTTAATCATGAACGCAAGTATTGCGTAACAAAGTAGAGGAATAACCTTTTGCCACTCAAATAGAAATCGATAGAACGGGACTCGAACCTGCGACCTATCGCTTATGATTATTACCAATTTTTGAAAAATACAATAGATGTTTTATAGAAAACTAAATATATATTTAAAAAACAAAATCACCTACCTGTAAACATTCAATTAAATGTCCAATAGTCATACGACTAGGAATAGCGTGTGGATTAATAATAATATCTGGTGTAATTCCTTCACATGTGAATGGCATATCTTCTTGACGATAACGAATTCCACAAGTACCTTTTTGTCCATGTCGACTAGCGAATTTATCACCAACTTGTGGTGCTTTGGTAGTACGTACACGTACTTTACAAAATTTATTGCCTTCATTATTCCATGTGACCATCACTTGATCAACTATACCATATTCACTACGACGCATAAATACACTGGCATCACGTTTAGTATATCGTCGTTGTCCACCTTCCATCTAAATTATGTGTGAGAATAGTTGAACAAAAACATACATCGAACACTATATCATGTTGGCTTTTTTAGGTGAAAAGAATTCTTACTTGTGTATCTAAAACAAGAACTCAGTATTAAATGACCATAAATAAAGAGAATTGCAATATTCACGTGGTCCTACTCAGTCACTCAGCTACAACGTCGCACCAGGCACATTCATGCATCGATCCAAGTTGCCATATCTCATTAGCACAACGAGATGAACACTAAATTCATAGAAGTAGTTAATTTAGTGGTGGTAATGTATAAAAGATAGGTTGTATATAAGGATATAGTATAGAAAGAAAGAATGTTATGAAGCAATTTGAATCTCAAGGTTTAAGGGAAGATAAAGAGTGTATACACCTACGCCATTGTGATCGATTCTGAGCCATGTCACACACAGTCTCCGACCATTGGTTACGATGATCACACGGACCCCAACCAAGTAGTCTACATCTGCCAACATGGCTCAGGCTAGAAGATAGTGACTTCAAGCACTGATGCCACATTTTGGTTTGGCTGCCCCTAACTTTCTTTCAACCATCGCCAATACTAGTCAGCATAGCGCGTCATGGTAATCGATGTTCAGGCATATGTAACACGTGGCCTAACCATCTCAATTGATGAAGATTCATGACCTCATCAACTGATTTACCATCATGTAAAGCACAGTCATATCAGTAGATAAACACATTCTTTTTAAACTGATAATAGAAGACACATAGTGTACATTCATTACACAAAAGGAAAAAGGTTGAAAAGATATACATTGACATTCATAATGACTCATTATAATTGTACTCTCTCTCTCTGTTGGTGTCATGTTCATATTAGAGTGGATATATCTATCTATGGGAATGAATCATAGAGATTATATTAACAATATATATATACACACATATCTACAACACTAATCATAATTAATTAGAGATAGAATAATAAGAGAATAAAGGAGTAAAGATAGTATCTATGCATAATTCTTGTTGAATGGATTACTAGTTTTATGATTTGGACAACGATATATTGATCATCATCATCATCTAATTCTATCTCTATGGGTATCATATTATTAATAGGTGAATGTATTTTATTGCATAATGAAAGTAGAGAAAATAAAATTTCATTTATAAAGCTCAATTATAACATTAATGCATGTACATCCAGTTGATGAGTCTTAAACATGACGAAATGCGCAATCTGGATTCCACTGATAGCTATCATCCATATTTGTTCATAGTTATAATATTATTATATACCCTGGTACAGCTGAGAGTGGGGAGAGTACGCTCTCCCTCTCCAAGTGCTCTCACATGGCCAAGCGCATATAGCCTCTGACAGGGAAGTACTACTCACTGCCTTCTCACAGTGGCATTACTGTTGTTTACGAAATTGAGAGGACGAAAAGCCAATGTCCGGTGCTTTAACCAGGTTGGTGGACACGGAAAGTCCACATAGGGGAGTTGGAAAACCCTCATTCCAAACTAATGGTACACATGGGCTCCAGTATCCTGAAGGAACAAATGGTGTATGAATCAATCGTTGGTCACCGGCTACCATGGGACTGCATCTCCTCACAGTGCTCCACTGCCTTGTGGATCAGACCTTTAGGTCGAAGGCTCCAGGTGTGGCCCCCTAAGAAAATCACCTGCTTCAGTTTGGGCACCTGGGCATTATCACAGCCCATACACAAATCTCATTCGATTTGTGTGGCGCATATATATCTGGTGCTTCCTTGCACCAATATTTATGTGTTTAAATAAGCAAAAAATAAATATGTTCAGGGCGTATTCCGTGATCTAATGTATTGTCTCTATTCTATATCATTTCATATTATATAATGTTTAATGAAAATTAAGTATTCATCTTGTTGAATAATGTTTCGTTATCTTTCAATATCCAATAGTTGTTTCATAATAATTAAGTGAAAATTCATTACAGATTGATTTGTAACATCGAATTCATAAAGGGTTAAGACTACTCGGTAGTGAGTAATGACGATTAGATCAGGGATCGAACTCAAGAATTTTAGGTATTGCAATGAGAAGTAAATCATTACACCAGTGGTTTAAAATTCAATGTAACATATTTCCAACTGAGTGGATATGCACTGTTAAAGAGTCATACCCGATGCATGAAACAGTCGTCTAGTTCTTTACAGTTTCTGGTGGTACTTCTCGTGCATATATATCTGGTGCCCCCTTGCACCAATATATGTTTAAATAAATAAATAAAATAAGTGGTACTTCAAATGAAGTGAATTTATGACAGATTACTTCGATCTTCATCAAGACCCTCTTTATCTATCATATTAGGTGAATTATTGCTAATTTCCCCTAAAAACCTAAACTAGATAGTCAATATTTTAGTTTTCTAAATCAACTATACTGGTGTTTTATTGCACATCAGGATCACATCCTGATCATTAGAGATTGTCTGGAATATCATCTACCATTTTTGGAAGTTTCATTAGCCGCTTTTGTACAATAATTTCTGACGGAATCTTAACACAGACAGAAAAAAACTAGTTTATTTTTTGGAAAGTTATTCACTTGCAAAGGAAGTAAGATGTACTTTAATCAAACGCTCACTATACTACAAATCAGTCGATTTTGAACTGTTTGACGAAGTTAGAGGACTTGATCACATTTTGTGTATATCTTTGAAGCAATGTACGCGTGTAATGAAATCACCGAATAGGAAATATACACGTTAGACGTAGAGTTCGTGCCCACCTACCAATGACCCAAATAAAGTACCGTGCTTCAAGGTGAAAATGTTCAATCTTAAAAGTGATCACTGATCTTTTTTCAGCATTTATGCTTCTCATTTTATTCTAATAGTGATTAGAATAGAATGAATACAGTCACAGTTAAGTCCTCATGAATAAAACACACAAACAAGTTAATCAATGAAGTATCCGAATGGATTGTGAAACAAATTTACGGACACAAATTTAAGCTACTTATTAAGTAGTATATATTAACATATAACGAAAAAACCCATTACGTCATTAAATGAATAAAGACAGTTCAACTAAGAAAACTTTCTCTTAAGAAATGTCATTTACTCAAGCTGCATGACCTTAATTATGATGAGTTAATAAACAGTTGTAATTTTACACACCAAACCAAGTGGCAGATGCAGACTACTTGGTTGGGGTCCGTGTGACTATCGTGACCAATGGTTGGAGACTCTAAGTGACATGGCTCAGAATCAATCACAATGGCGTAGGTGTATATACTATTTATCTGCCATTAAACCTTGAGATTAAAATTGCTTCATAACTTTCTTTCTTCCTGTACTATATCCTTATATAAAACCTATCTTTTATATATTGCCACCACCACTAAATTAACTACTTCTATGAATTTGGTGTTTATCTTATTGTGCTAACGACGTATGGCAACTTGGACCGATGCATAAATGTGCCTGATCCTACGTTGTAGCTGACTGACTGACTTACACACCAAAAGATGAGAAAACATCTTTAATTAAGCCAAATACAACGCTAAACTAGCTGAGATTAATGTGTGTTAAATTTAACCTACAAAGTAAACTGATCACTATAGAAGCACTCCGAGTAAACGATAATGATTAGTTCATTAGTGATTTACACCAAAACTTTAATGAGATTTTAGTGTAACGTCATAACTGTAGTCATGTCGGAAATAAAACAGTTGCTACCAATTGTATTGGATGATCGTCTACCTAAATCACAAATTGATTGAAGTTGGAATTGTACCACGATTGAAATCTGACTAAATAGTTTTAATGATTAGGTGTCCACAGCGAAAGTCTTAAATCTTAAGTTCAATCCCTGGCAATATTACGTGTACGCATTGCTAAGAATTCCTATACTAGGACAAAACAACTATCCAATACTTCCTGGTTCTCAGTGGTACCATCCTAACTGTGATAAATCAGTGACGGATATCACCTACAAACTAAACCAATCTTCACAAAACCTTTTTAACTAAACATACAATAAGTATTCAAAAATAAAAGCTAATAAAAAAGCAATTTGTTAGAAAGAACCTTTTATAGTATGATCTTCAGTAATTCACTCACAGATGTACTATCACTGACTACATCTAAGAGAAGTCAAAGAGTGAATGTGTCTGAGTTACTGCGAACGATTATGAGCCACATCATTGAAAGTCTTCAGTCATTTGTCCCAATAATCTGATAAATCTTAATCAAGTAGTCACTACCTACCAATACATCTTAGTCGAGGAACCAATAACTTGATGGAATGAAAGCACGTCTTAGACTGACCACTCTTAAATTTCTCCTAGTCTACTTCTAGGTCAACCACGATTAGATATTGAAGTGGTCAACCAGATATAACACAAGCTCCAGACAATTCAATCGATGAAGATTTAAAACTCCATCAACAGATTACTCTTTTTTTTTCTAGTACTATATTTCGAAACTCAAATTTGTTATAATCAATTTACATTTTCTCGGAACGTCTTTTCAATGCCTTATCTTTTCACAAATACTCTTGCTGCCTCTACTACCATGGGATTTGCCTGAAAAAACTTTATCTCGCTATGCTAGTGAGGTATGACAACTTGAACCGATTTACACAACCCCCACTTTATACATTGCGTTTGACAGACTGAACTTCAATACTACCAAATATATATGAAGATATCAACTTACCTCATCTTCATTCTCTGGTAAAGTAATTGTTTTACCAATTAATACATCATCACCAGAAACTCTAGTACCAGGTGCAATCAATCCATCATCATCTAATTTATCATAAATAGCATGACGCATTCCTTGACAATTTTGTGGATTTGGTTTTTCAAATACTTCTTCTAAATCCATACCATGTCGCGTTTCTTGATCTTTATAAGTACGATAAAATTCTGATCGAAAGAAACCACGTTGTATAGCGCTTTCATTGATAATAACAGAATCTTCTTGATTATAACCGGTATATGTTGCAATGGCAACAATTGCATTAATACCTAAATATAAAATAAATTACAGTAAAGATAGAAAGAGAGAGAGAAAACCCTAATAATTTACATAACCAATGTTTTTTAGAATTACTGACCAGTGTAATAAAACCGGTGTTGGATGTGAGAAAATTATCAACCACAGTGAATTGATAGTAACTGCGCAATATCGTGAATTGGCTGAGATTAGACATTAACACTGTTGGATATAGGCTCGGTGATCTACGAGCCAAACGTTCAAGCGCGAGATCGAAGGTCCTTCAGGGTTAAATCCTCGCATACGGGGTCGTGGATGCGCACGGCTAGGAGGCCCCATACTAAAACGAGAAGGCCGTTAAGTGCTTCCAGGTTTTCAAAGGTGATCTAGTTCAGATCAGTCCGTGATTTAAAATGTGAAAACATTAATTTATCCTCAAGTCACTACACAATCAATTGTAGTTATCAACTTTTTTTTGGTAGGATGAGTTCACTAGTAAAGGATCAAAATGATGGAAGATCCTTCTGATTTTTCTTATGAAAATACATAGACATGTCTATTTATGCTACCGCATCGCATATTAAGACATGATCTGATGCTGACTTAAGGTAAGTTGAATGCCCTTGGTATCAGTATATCCTGTCTAATTCTTCTATTTAGAACGGATGATCTGACAGGATATTCTGAGAAAGTTCGAAAACTTAAGTCAGATTGTGTCTACACGTGAAGTTTTGTCTATCTCACACCTAGTCATGAATTATTGGAATTCTTTATCATAAAAAATAGTATCATGACCATCTGTCAATATGTTTAAAGAGAGGTTGGAATTTTACGCTGCTACTAATCGCGAGAATTAGGTCAATTAACCTCTAATCATTACCTTTGAAGAGTGAAGACACAGTTTTTAAAACACAGATCATCACTCCCAAAGCTAATTCAGCACAGAAATAAAAATGATACTCAAGCAAAACAGTTTTGAATTTTATATAGTTAAGATCATGAGTCAATTGAAGCTAGACCACCAGGGAAAATCTGGAAGCACTGGACGGCCGTTTCATCCTACTGTGGGACTCCTTAGCAGTGAGCATCCACGATCCCGCCTCACGAGATTTGAACCCAAGACCTACCAGCCTCGCGCCAAAGCACTTAACCGATAGATCACTGAGCCGGCATCCAGCGGTGTTAATGTCTAACCTCAACCAATCCACGAAATTGCGCAACCAACTTCCATTGTACTGAGGTAGATACTGTCTCTACCTGACATCGATTAGCTCCACTGGCCACGACTTCTTACAAGAACTCCAGCAATTACCTCATGGAGCCAGTCACTAGTGAGCATATGATCATTATCACAAGGGGGTTTTGTGGTCTATAGGTTAAGTGCTCTGGTGCGAGGCTGGTTTCGAATTCCGCGAGGCGGGATCGTGGATGCGGACTGCTGAGGAGTCCCACAATAGGACGAAACGGCCGTCCAGCGCTTCCAGGTTTTCCCTGGTGGTCTAGCTTCAATTGACTAATGATCTTAGCTATATAAAATTACTAAGATCTCCACAAAACCCTCCTTGTGAGTCTTGAATTGCCCCTCTAGATAAACAATAGTTTTCTTGAAAATGAAGATACATCATAATTAGAAATAGACAATTAAATAGAACTACTCTACATTTCAGGCGGCCTGTTTAAGCATCTGGGCTACCTGTTTCCCGTCATCTATATATTTCAACAAGTTATCTAATATTGTTTGTTTTAATACATAATTATGGCTATTAAGCACACAACCCATTCCGGTGCGTTTCTGAAAACTGTACAACCTTTCGCTGTAAAGGTTACAGAAGGCCTAATCAGAGATATCGTGGTTGCTGGCAATATGCAGCGAGAAGAATGTACATTATCCAGATGTCGATTGACTGGACTGCTAACTTCTAACTGGCGATCACTCGATATTTATCGTCAGGAAAGACGAAGAAGTAAGAAACGGAAACTTGTTGAAGTACTTTGTGCTGAGAATTCTATATTGTACCAAAAACATAATACTGAATAAAGCTAATAATAATAATAATCTTTGCATGATCTTAGAATTTTATTTATACAGCTTAGACAATATTCAGTCTATTTGTCAATATAAGAAAAGAAGGTGAGTATAATTTGTTCCATTCATAGAAAACCAATAACATAGAAGAACCATTAAAATATTCTTCAATAGTGTAAAACAAACTTCTGGTACATCAGATGATTTACTACTTATTAAATTACTGAATTTACTACTATTCACAAGAATAAAGTATACATGTGGTACCACCACCCATGAAGTATGACGGGTGACAAACAAGACATAGAATCGATCCACGAGTTTATAGATTCAAGATTTCGGTCCTCATCATGTCTAGGTTGGTGTATGCTTCTTAGTTAGAATATGAGATACAACAATGACAGAGTGATAAATTACTGATTAAAGGATTCCAGTTTCAACCATTGGATAGCACGTTTAGGTTTCGATTCTACTACGAAGACTTCAGATTATCTAGTGTTTTAATTGCTAATAATTAATAGCATGATGAAGACCGTGGTAATGTTCTCCAAATTTATATTTCCCCACTTAAATTTATTGTCATCTGACTGCTTATTTTCACTTTTAGTTTGCTAATTTCATTGTGCCACAAGTTCATATTTGCCGCAGTACAAACAGAGTTGTTTCACTGTAAATTTTAACTCCTTGGATAGCAAGCTTTTCTCCTAAGTTTCTAACTTCTCTTGCAATGTGAAAGGGAAATTATTGGTAAAATTTATTCATTATTATGTATTTAAACACATAAATGTTGGTACAAGGAAGCACCAGATATATATGCGCCACACAAATCGAATGAGATTTGTGTGAGGGTTGTGATACTGCCCAGGTGCTCAAACATAAGCGGGTGGTCTTCTTAGGAGACCACACACCGAGCCTTTGACTTAAAGGTCTGATCCACAAGGCAGTGGAGCACTGTGAGGAGATGCAGTCCCATGGTAGCCGGTGACCAACGATTGATTCATACACCATTTGTTCCTTCAGGATATTGGAGCCCATGTGTACCATTAGTTTGGAATGAGGGTTTTCCAACTCCCCTAGATAGACTTTCCGTGTCCACCAACCCGGTTAAAACACCGGACATTCGCTTTTCGTCCTCTCAATTTCGTAAACAACAGTAGTGCTGTGAGAAGGCAGTGAGTAGGACTTCCCTGGTAGTGGCTGTATACGCGTGGCCATGTGAGAGCATTTCGAGAGGGAGAGCATACTCTCCTCACTCTCGGCCGTACCAGGGCATTTGGGGAATCAATCGTTTGACCTATCCAGCTTACATAGATCCTGTTCGTAGTAGAATATTCTCAAAATAACCATCATTGATTTTTGAATTAGAACAAACTCAGCTCATTTAATTTATGCAACTAAGTAAGATAGTATAACTAGTCTTTATGTAAAATTTGTAGCTGTCCGAAACTAAATAATGTATATACAACAAACACAACAACAACAACAGTACTCACCTGCTGGAAGTTCTCTAAAACGTAAATACTCCATAGATCGCGTAGCAACTAATGGTTTTTGTGGATAATACAATACATTAGCCAATGTATCCATTCTTGTATGAAAATTACTAATATACACACCCATAGCTTGTTTACCCATAGCACTTTGATATGTATTTCTTGGTGATTGATTATGATCAGGGAATGGTATAATACTGGCACATATACCTAATATCATACTTGGATGAATTTCACAATGTGTATGTGTTTTACAATAATTTACAGCAGCTTGCATTTCTGCAGGACCCATAGCAATCATAACAGTTTCTTCTTCTAAAGTATCAATATATTCAACGACACCACTGAGTACAAGATCTTGCCAGCTAAATTGAATAATCATGCAATTATAATAACAATAATAATAATAATAATGTCGTAGAAATATAGGGCAATCTTGTTAATATGCACATTCATCAAATAAATTGTACGGTTGTTATTTATTTGTTATACAATAACAAACACATTGTACAGTGATGTTCTATACACACAGAGATAGACTTCATTAACATAGAAAGCCGCGCAAATGTGCATTAGCCCAAGTTGCCATGCTAGAGATGTTAAATATAAATATTTAGTGAAAGCCTATGCACTCATGACACATTAACAAATACTATTCATTCTTAAGCATGGTAAGTAAAGATGGATAGTGGCTAGCAGTGGAATTCAATACGCGCAGTATGCACATATGTCAATTAGAGACTAACCAGTTGCAGTCTTAACACATCGATGGAAAGATTCAAACAAAACAATACTAAATGAATTTAGACTTCACCCCATTGCACAAGCGAGTGGTTATCAGGACCGAGTGGATAACGCGATTGCGTTTGAAGCAAACGCTACTGGGTTCAAGTCCCAGAGTGAACATCAACATGTCTGAGATGTAGGTACATCCAGCTGACGAGTCCCAAATAGGACGAAACGCGCGTCGAACTGGATTGCACTGCTAGCCACTACCCATTATTGCTTACAATGCTTGTGAATTAAGGCTATATCGAGGCAATACACACAGTATGCACATATGCCAATTAGATATTGACCAGTTGCAGTCCTAACACATTGATGGGAAGATTCAAACAAACAATACTAAATGAATTTACTATTCATTCTTAGTTGTTGGATTCACATAGTGGATTCGTGAGTGATTAGAACATGTTAACTTGACGCAGGAGAAACTGATTTCTCAATATCGGTAAGATTTTCTCCTTGAGATTGTATAAAATATAACTAATATATATCAAAATCTGACTTTATACGCTGGATAATGGTGGTGTTCGCTACACTCGAAGGTATTTCACAAGGCTTAGGCCTACAACCTATTATTGGTTGAAAACTGACTTATTTTTTAATCCTTATGTTACTGGTTCCATAATGACACACAAGTGATATGCAATAATATATATATCTCTAGGTTTTGTGTTATGCTTAAATGTGATTCACATAGGAAATACTCTGTTATTCGTTTAGATACGGGATCTTTAGACAAAAGATCTAGAAAGTTAATTTCAAATTAAAACTGAGAATTCAGTCAGTCAGTCACAACATAGAACTTCGTACGTACGTATATCAGTCCGATTCGCCATACCACATTAGCACAGAGATGCAGTTGTCGAGAATTACTCGTTTAAAAATAATAAAAAGAGGTTGGAACCAAGCTAGGAGCGGTCAAACGATAAAATCGATAACTACTGGTTTAAACTATATAAATTGATGATAGACAGAAACTTTCTTTTTGAGATTCAACCAATAGCTGTTATACCAATCATTGAAGATATTAGTTGATAAGGACTCGAAGCCAACCATCAGTTACATTTATTTGCTATTTTCCTTTTATAGCTTAAATGTAATTTCCCTATATATTTTCCTTTCTTTAATCTCATTCATTCCTTCTGAATCATACCTCTTATGTTATTATTTTCATGCCTTAACTCCTCTATCTTGTTAGTTTATTTCCCTCGTTGTGCTGCATGTGATATGTAACAAATTTGGTTGATACGTATTCGCATCAGATCCTTTGTTGTCTGTGGTTGATTAATAAGTTGGTCTAGGACCAATTCACAGATGTAGGTGTGGGATTGTTTAATATAACTGTATTACTCATGAGTAGCTAGCTTCCGTTCGTATAATTTCTTCGTTGTATCTTAGTCGCTTAGCCATAAACACGTTTCATCGGCTGCTTACTAACGCCTATTACACCTCGTGGAGGAACCGCCAGCCAACATTCTCCATCCAACTCTGTCCTCAAGAATCCTTTTCAGTTGGTATTTATCTTTTTTATGTCCGCTCCCAATTCTCGATACAGTGTGTTCCTTGGCCTTCATCTCTTTTGTTTCCCTTCACGATTCCAAATTAGTGCTTGCTTCGTGATGCAGTTTGATGACTTCCTCACTGTGTGTCCTATCCACTCCCAATGTCTTTTCCTAACTTCCTCTTCAGATGGAAGTTAGTTTATTCTCTCTCACAATAGACTGTTGCTGATGGTAACAGGCCAACAGATATTCAGTAACTTACATAGACAATTCTTTATAAATGCTTGTACTTTTTTATTATGGTTGTAGTAGTTCTTCACGTTTCAGCTGCGTACAGTAGGACTGTCTTGACGTTCGTATTGAATATTATAACTTTGTTATTGGTTAACAGTTGTTTTGAGTTTCATATGTTCTTCAACTGTAGGGATGCTACCCTTGCTTTCAATATTTCGAGAAACCAAGATAGTCTTCTGACTGTAATCGACCTTGAATGAGTTCTTCTGGTTAATCTAACAGTAGCTACTCAGCTCTTACTGCATTATTAAAGCTAAAACTCTATAAAAAAATCCCTTATTTAACAAACGGCTAACAATTTTCACTAGGTCAGATTGATGAAGACCACTTAATACCAACAAGCGAATTCCAGAAATATTAGGTTAAACATATATTTTGATTTCATGACGGACAAGTATACCATAGCGATATGTGTTTCCTAGGTTTAAGTACTTTAGACAAACTCTCTTCCAGTCGCTTAGCGAAATTCCTCAAACATCAATGGGAAGATTCAGACAAAACAATACTAAGTGAATTTAAACTCCACCCCCATTGCACAAACAAGTGGCTATCAGGACTCAGAGGCCGAGTGGATAACGCGATTGCGTTTGAAGCGAAAGGTACTGGGTTCGAGTCACAGAGTGAACATCAACTCTGAGATGCAGGTATATCCAGCTGATGAGTTCCAAATAGGACGAAACGCTTGTCAAACTGGATTCCACTGCTAGCCACTATCCATCTTTGCTTAACGAAATTCAGTTTGTGATATCGAAAAAAAGAGGACTGATTTGATGCTAATAATTTCAATCAGCCTTTGCTTTTGTAAACAGTGGGGAATTCTATTTCACAAACAAACAAAAAATATTTACCTGTAACGATTATACGCTTTATCTTTTAAAAGTTCAATATGACTACGTTTCAATAGTAATTTGCCTTTTTCAACAATAACCAATGGACGGCAAATACGACCAGCATCTGTATAGATTCGTATCTCTTGATCACGATAATCCCGAATCATACTGACTTCACTGACAATGACATCAACTTGACGACGTAGTTTTCGTAGAGTACCCATTAAATGATCTGGTGAACTATGAATACCAACCCAACAGCCGTTGACAAATATTTTACATGTCCTAGAACAATATTAAATCAAATAAAAGAAGGTTTAGCCATTCGATATGAACAATAAGTAGTCAAAATTATGATTTAAACTAAATCGATTTATAAAAAAATTACTTACTTTCCAATAGCTGAAGGAGCTATTTCTTCCAAATTCTCCATACTCCACTCTTCTAAGAATTCTAAAATAGGTGATGGTTGACTTCCAACTGAAATATATGCCATCAAAGCAAGATTTTTCACTAATCCCACAGCATGACCTTCAGGTGTTTCAGCTGGACAAATCATACCCCATAAAGTATTATGCAATTGTCTAGGTCTTGCCAATTTTCCATCTCTTCCAATAGGTGAATTCAGTCGCCTTAAATGTGATAATGTTGATGCAAATGTTAAACGATTAAGCACCTAAAATATATAGATCAAAGTGAACAGAAATGTTACATTTATAATTATAGAATTATAGATTTATTAGCCCCCAAATGCCCTGGTACGGCCGAGAGTGGGGAGAGTACGCTCTCCCTCTCCAAGTGCTCTCACATGGCCAAGCGCATATAGCCTCCGTCAGAGAAGTACTACTCACTGCCTTCTCACAGTGGCATTATTGTCCTTTACGAAATTGAGAGGACGAAAAGCTAATGTCCGGAGCTTTAACCGGGTTGGTGGACACGAAAAGTCCACTTAGGGGAGTTGGAAAACCCTCATTCCAAACTAATGGTACACATGGGCTCCAATATCCTGAAGGAATAAATGGTGTATGAATCAATCGTTGGTCACCGGCTACCATGGGACTGCATCTCCTCACGATGCTCCACTGCCTTGTGGGTCAGACCTTTAGGTCGAAGGCTCCAGGTGTGGCCCCCTAAGAAAATCACCTGCTTCAGTTTGGGCACCTGGGCATTATCACAGCCCATACACAAATCTCATTCGATTTGTGTGGCGCATATATATCTGGTGCTTCCTTGTGCCAATATTTATGTGTTTAAATAAATAATAAATAAATAAAATAGATTTATTACCTGTGAGACACCTGGACGTGCTTGATTTGCCTTTTTCTGATCACCCCAATTACCAGTAGCAAGTGAATATTTTAAACCATCTGTAATAATTTGACTACGTATGGCCAATTCCAAATTAAAATCTTTGCCTTTATCAATGAATTTTTGAGCATATAAACGAATTTCTTTAGTAAGATTTCTAAATAATCCACGAAATAAAAATGCAAGAAGTGGACCAGCTAAATCTAATCGTTTATTTCCATAATGATCACGATCATCAACATCACGACGTTTTAACGCAGCCAATAATAAACGATGAACCATATAGCCTAAAAAGTAAGCTTTACGTGTTTCACAAAAATCCGATACTCCAACATGTGGTAAAGTTTCTTTTTGAAGGATTTCTTTGGCATATTTTATACGTTTTTCTTTTGTTACACCAGGTCGAGCACCACGAGAACCAATGAAATTAAGAGCGACTTTTTGTTCCTATACAGTTGGAAGTCAATAAAATGTAAATTAAAACTTACCTGAATTACAAATGCATCATCCAAAGAAGGTTTAATCATTTCACGCATTTCTGTGTCATCAAAATCATAAATTATATGTTCTAATATATCACGATCAGCGACAAAACCTAATGCACGAAATACAATTAACACTGGAATCTCTTGTTTTATATATGGTAATATAGCCACAATTCTTTGACCAATAGTAGCTCGTTTACTGCCATCTTTACCACCACGTGCCATCATATTAATCCATAATGTACTAGCTGGTCGGGAACTATGCTCAAGACATGATCGAATTTCTGTTTTGTAAGCATATTTACTATCCTTTTGTTTAAAAACATATACTAAAATAAAAGTTCCATGTTTTAGCTAATCGGAAAACAAACCTGTATTCGTAGCCATTTTTTCCTGTGCTATCAAAACTTTCTCAGATCCATTAATGATGAAATATCCGCCAGGATCTAGAGGACATTCATTTAATTCAGCAAGATCACGATCACTCATCACTGATAAAAGACAATATGTAGATCTAAAGAAATGTGAATTAGAAAAGGTATGCCATTTATTTATAAAAGGATATTTTACCTCAACATAATCGGAATTTTGCCTATAAACTTCTTTTCTAACGGTTTTTCCTCTTCAATTTCATCACGAATTATTTTCTTCATTACATCGACATAAAGCGGTGCTGCATAAGTCAAGTTTCGTAGTCTTGCATCATTGGGTGTCATCGGCACAGAGGAGCCATCTTTTTCCCAATGAGTAGCTTTACTCAGATAGATTTGTTCGAACTTTAGACGATATTGAACCTAAAAAGAATATGTGTAAGTTATGGGTTAACTTACAGGAGTTTCTAAAATTCCACCACTATGCTGAGCTTCTGCTTGTAACTCGATAATAGGAGAATCTTCAACAATTTTCTGAATCGATGTTTGGATGAATTCATCAAAAGAATCCAACTGTTGTCTGACTAAGCCCTTTTCGTCAAAATAGCTGCTTATAACAATCCAACAAGCTTCCTGCCACATATCTGGAGTGATTTCATCGTCCTCATTACTTTGTTCATCTCCATAAAACTGACGTTCAGGATCATCTTCTTCAAAATCTTCCAGATCCCCTTCAACATAAAAGGGATCTAAAAATCGTTAAAAAGATAAGTTAATCAGCTCCAGAAAGCGTTTCGAAAATATGTAATTACACGGTATCAAACCACAACAATATTACGGTTGTATAACTGCAACAATATGATATTGTTTATGATGTGTGGGCGAGAATGATTGGTTGTCTGCTTAGTCAGACATGTAGATAGTCTGACAGGTGTCAAATGAGTTATATATTCCCCTATCCTTATTATTGATTGATTGTTCATTGTTGTTGGATTGTGTCGGGTTTCGGGGTGGAAATGTATTTACGTTCTTGTCAGGCTAACCACGTGTTCTTGATCTGTGTTGAAGTTTTGTACAATAGACACTGGGAGTGAATCTAGTGTAGATATTCGTCTAAGGTAAATTAACGTCCCATTCGTGTTAAAAAATAAATCGGACCGTTATAACAATGTAAGATATCAATAACATAACATTTAGCCTCAACCTATGGACACTAAAATATCCTAGAGGGCTTTAATAGTAAAAATAACAATGGTCGACGGGCATGACACCTGGAATCGCTTTCAGGTATAAGATAAGCATACGGGAAAAGAATTGAGAACATTCATGACCGTGATGAAAACATAGTATCTAGTCTGATTATGATCAGTATAAACCGATCATACATGCTCACATACGGTTGGTTCATAGCGGATTTTAGAGATGTGATAATTAAGCGGTTACAACAAATGAGATTTCTAAGTTCCTTTATTTGTGATTGCGGTAATCAAATGACTGTTGGACCTTGTGCAGACTTCCGTGATGATGTCTTTCGATGTTATTTATGTTGGAGGAAAAACAGGAACATTTTTCGCTCGATCCAGATTGAGACTAAGGTGAATCATGATAATTGTTGAGACTGGATGATAAAAGCACCAGTAACATTGGCTGCAACCTTTGCAGATGTTACGGAGCTTCGGCAGTTCAATGGTATGAGTATTGTAGATATATGTGCAATGAAAATGACAAGCTTACACGAGCCGTTTAGGGGAGTCGAAAGAATCGTTGAAATAGCTGAAACAGTAGTTAGAAAACAAAAATTCAACAGAGGGCGTAATGTTAAATAAGACTGGGTAAGTAACACTTCCATGAGTATACCTCACAGGTCTTTGGAATGTACGACAGGTCATTTCACAAGGGACACTTCCAACGGGTTAGAAACCAACAGGCAACAACGATGATACCAATTATACGGGAATTTGTTTATTTATTTATTTAATCACATATATATTGGTACAAAATGGCACCAGGTACATATGTGCCACACAAAATAATGAAAGAAGAGAAGGGATGAAAAAATAAGGCGGACTGAAATGTACAACCAGAAGACTCTTTCAGTTAGGAAAGTTAGAACCATTCTTTATGTAGAAAGTAAAAGAAGGTTGCAGCAGGATCGCCACTGGCTTCTATTCTGAGCCATATCTGATAACGTCTCTAGCCACTGTGTTGCACCATCTCTCGGACCCCAACCAGGGAGTCGTGAAGGACCAACGGAAACTAGCCCTTTTCAGCTCTCTTTCATGCCACGACACCATGTCATACACTGACCTCCTCTCCGCTTTCTCCAACCAGTCCCAGGGTCGGCAAATAATGCACGACGTGGAAGTCTCTGGGACGACATTCGTAAAACATGTCCAAGCCACCGAAGTCGGTGTTTCAAGATGGTGACACCAATTGAATTATCGTCTCTGTGCCCGAACACACGATGCCGAACCTCTGCATTACTAACATGGTGTTGCCACTGGATGTCAGCAATCCTTCGGAGACAACGATGATCGAACACAGAGAGACGTCTAACATCCTCAACTCGGAGAGGCCAGGTTTCACAAGCATAGAGCAAAACTGCTCTCACCGACGCGTTGTAGATCCGACCTTTTACAGCCAGACTAACATCACGAAGGCGCCAAAGATGGCCCACATTGGCATAAGCCGCTCTGGCTTTCCTTATACGTGCATCAATCTCATCACTCACGCCATCACCAGCACTTATATAGCTACCTAGATACACGAACTTCTCAACTACTTCGATCTCCTCACCATCCAGGGTGAGTACAGGATTAGAATCCTGTCAGTCTTGTAGGAGTGCTTTGCACTTGGAGGGTGCAAAGCACATGCCGTACCTGCGGACACTGATTGCCAACTGATTAAGTGCTGATTGCATGCCTTGGGCATTATCGCACAGTAAGACAATATCATCCGCATACTCGAGGTCGAGAAGTCGTTCTCCAGGCAACATATCCACACCGCCATTACTTACACCCACCAGAGCTGTTTCCAGGATGTCGTCGATGGCAAAGTTGAAGAGGAATGGTGAGATCGGGCAACCCTGCCTAACCCCACTGCTCGAATGGAACAAGGGAGAAAGGTGGTTGTATGCCCTCACTCTGCCTGAGGCGTTCGTATACAGGGCCTTTAAGATGCTAATGAACTTCTTATACGGGAATATGTGCAGCCAGGCACTAGAATATATACGGATGATTGGAGAGCGCACAGATGCCTACATAGACTTCGTTATGTGCATTATATCGTTATCCACGAGCGCCATTTTGCGGACCCAACAACTGGAGTGCACACTTACAATATTGAAGCTATGTAGTCGAGGCTGAAAGAGTTTCTACGACATTATCACGGCTCCAGAGGCCGACTATTATGGAGCTATATGGATGAGTCCCTCTACTGTATGCATTACGATTTTAGAACCTCCGAACTTCTTTCTAACCTTGACAAGTTTCTGAGCCATGTAAAAGAAGTGTATCCACTTTAAGTTTTTGGTTTAGAATAATATATTTCTATTCTATATTAACTGTTTTGAGATTAGCTAATGTTTTCCAAGGTCACATAAGATTTGTTCAGAGGTCGTCCATGAGCTAGAGTCTCGCCCTACGCACTATCACCTGAACATTACTCGACGATTTCATCATGATGTGCAGGCATGAATGGTCACCATGTCTGTTATCTCCAAATATCACGCCTCAGAAATGTAGATTACAAAAAGAAATACTTTGTAGGCTACATAATAGCATGCAGAAGTGGTTTCAAGCCTGGCTATACATTGAACCTTGATTTAAGATTGTAAGAAGTTGTAGCGAAAAATAGAATTCGTGGTAAAGTTACTGACCCTTCACTGAGACAGATTCTAAGTAGCAATCTTCTAAAGAAACGCGTGAGAAGCTTTGGCGTTATACGTATTGCTAGGTCAATAACGGAAATCTACCTGTGGACGTGGACAGGCAGATATAAGCAAGGTGTGCAATGAAAATTCGAACCAATTGCTCGAGGCACTATTTTAGTGATGGGGTGGACCGGATAAAAACTGAGTAGATATACGAAAGCCATGAAGTCAACCCATCATGACATTAACCTATGGTTTGGATTACTAAAAGATAAATATTTTCCATCAAACGTTTGAAAGTTCAAACTGACCGTTTACAGGAAAAGTCAGAGAGAACAGTAGGTGAGTTTGGAAGTAAAAAAAGTAACAGAAATCCTGTAGTGTCGTCAGTGGAAAACTATGTATACAAACATGGTGTGGTGACTTTCGCTAATGAGAAAAGATCACAAACCTGACATTCTGAAGATAAAAAAGCTTCTCCACTGTGGATATCAAGTGTAAATTTGAAGGACGTGTGCGCTCGGACACATCAAGGTCATTCAGTCGATTCAAGGACAGTACATATCTTAATCAAGTAAACTTAAACGCCTTTGGGACAAATATCGTATTCTTTCTAATTCATTAATTCCTTAAAAGTCGGTTGTTATAAAAAAGGGAATCCCTCCTTGGATTTTTACCCTTTGAAGAGTATCCGTGGTAATTTTCTAGTTCTTCAACAAGAAATGCCGAATAGGTTTAGTTTCACCAGTTTCTAGTCAGACGGCATCTCTTAAATCTCAGGAATCCAGTTAATTGTGGTCCATAGGACCTACATTCAAATTTAACTGTCCTTTTTTACCCAAGGACTAACTACTTATATGCATTTCTAGAATTTCTGACGAACAAGTGCTGTATACAAAGTCATGAGTATCATAACATATATATGGCTGCAAGCACTACTAATTGACTAAACGATTGAAAATCTTTCTGTTGCATAGCGATGTACAGTATTTTGAAATCCTGACTGACAATAACTCCTGATTCATTGTGTAGACAAAGAGAAACCCAATATATATTGATTTGTAGCGTGATGGTCTTCAGGAACTACAATGATCATGCTATCAGAAGGAGAAGATGAATGATAAGCTTTATCACGGGATGTTCTAGTTGAACCAGGAACTAGTTGCTACAAGTCGGAGAATGGTGTGCATACATCTATGATGAAAAGAAAGCAGTCATTCATCGGCTGATAAATTGTAGTGGTAGTCGTTCGAGCCTGTGAAGTCAGGTAGTACTCCTAAGAAAGGCTTAATATTTGTTGCACAGGAAAATGGATGAATGTAAAGCGGCACTCCAGGCAGCCAGCTAAATACCGATTGACAATTGGAATTAGAAGTATGCCTAAAATGCTAAAGAACGAAGCTGTAAGAGTTTCGGGATCGATATACGAAGTTTAGACAGGGTAAACTTGTTGAAGCTAACTGAACCATGGTTTATATAATGAACGAAACAGAATAAATTCAGGTTGTATAAGGAGCGAGAACATTGCGGATTCCGATTTGTCGCTTCCCAGGATAAATAACTGCGAGTTAACTATAGGATAGCTTAAGAGCTGTGTTAGGTGCTAGTTACTACCACTGATATGAAGTGTAAGTAGATATTCGCAGTTGCAATTATTCATTGGTGTTCACACTTATCTGGTAGATGGTAGTGTATTTCGTCTTCGGCCACCAGCGTTGAGGTGTATAAGACTGAATATGTGATGGTTTTGCTTATTTGTTCGATTTTCCGGTTTCGGGCTTCATCTCTAGAATCCAAGTCAGGCGCCGAAACATCAGGAAATAAACCTTATTCGCCACTTTATTCAGAAAATTTCACTGTTTTTATCACAGAGACGCTTTTGACAACCATGAGAGTTAAGTTGTACTTAACTCTACTCGTTGAGAAGTCACAGTTTCATGGTGGTTGATCGAGATCATTGTTGCAGAGGGCGGAATTACATGAATAGATGTCTTAACAATTTTCTTTTTCGAACAACTCTTCCAAACTTTACCATCTGACAACTGCAATACAACTGATATTTGTCTGTGTCTGAATGATTGTTTACCATCTCTTAAGGATAGGATTTTAACACCGTTGCCGTTTTTATAAGCTCCGAGACTGTAAAAGTGTTCACGTTCCTAAAAGTGTTTCTTAGCGCAGTATTTGAGACCGCGTGATATCCTGAAGTATTTGGATTATACTACAATTCAAGAATACCCATAAGTAACTCACTTTAACCAAGAATTATCAGATGAGCACGAACGAGCGCATTGTATTTGGAATTCGAAACCAGGCAGACCTCAAGTACAAAAGAATCATTAATTCATACATGCACCACATACCGTAATAATTGTTCTTCTAGAATTTTATTTGTTACTAACCAGTAAAAGTTTTGGATTCGGTTAAGACACCGTGATTGTGCACCCATATCATTCATTATCTCCACATAAAAAGTTTCATATGAATCCCACCAGGATTGATCACAAAGAGTTCAGAATTGTCTTTAGAGAATGTTGTGATAAACGTAATATGGCTGCTTAAACGTGAAAAGACAGTGGTACTGTGGTTTTTGTATGAACTAATGAATCTTCACCACTTGGTGTGTGTCTGGTTTCGAATTCTATATATAATTCGTTTTTTCGTGCTCATCTAGTTCTGTTCGACTTAAATTTCACTGTCTCTCGAGTTCCTAGCTAATACAGTGTTTCGAACACTTCTAATTATCATATTGACGTCGCGATGGAACCTGCGGTGATATAGTTGAATATACATCCAAATATTAAAGCTTCCGATGATTACATGAAAAGGTTTAAAATCCAGAGCACGACCAGGAACGATGTTATGGATGATAAAATTGTGGCTCATTTCCTCACATTCATTGAAAAGGATGCCCACAGAATGCTAAAAACTTCGGCATTCCCAGATAAACCTATTTTACTTCCATACGCAACCCTCAACTAACTAATACAAGACAATGTGAAGTGTACTAATTTCGAATATCGTGAAGGAGCAAAATTTCATAAAATAATTCATCACAACAACAAAAGGATTAGAGAATTTATCCTTGGATTGCAGAAACATGCTGCTAAATGCAACTTCAGTAATCAACTCCATGTGCAGTTCGTGATCGATTGATTTCAGGAATTAACATACCTAATCTGGGAAGCGAACTCATGCAAACGCTGAAGTGTCCTTTACAAGATGTTAGGAATGCGTGTATTGATTATAAAACAGTGCGTGAATTGACTCCCATGACACCAAAAACACTACATTACTTAAGTATCCCAATCCTATGTGTACTCATATCCATGCAAATAACAATTTATTGAGGAATTGCAAAGCAGGTCACAGAGGTGAGGACAAGTTTGGTAAACGCATATCCTGTGTCCAATGCCACTCACGTAATTCATGCAGATTTCGTAATACTAAATGCATTAAATGTAATAAAATTGAGTACAAGAAGTCAGTTTGTAATACTACCCTTCATTTCTCTGCAAGTGTGGTTTGCGCTACTTATATCGTAGTATATAACACTTTTCAGGAATAGAATGTCTGGCAGCAGAATTTTGAGATGATTGAGGAGAAAATAACGGGAACAGAAAGAAATTGGTATGGAAATGCAGGAACAATGAAGTCTGAGAGAATTAATGGATGTTTCGCAAATGAAGTATTGGAGTATGGTTTTTTATTTTATTAAGTAACTCTGTAGTTTTATGCTAAATATGATCGGCTGTCCTCTACTATGTTCCCCTTCACTACACACGTAATGCTGAACTTTGTCATTCACATCCTATTAGGTCGGTTGGTTTTGATGATCATATATTATCCATGTTTACAACTTCCAGCGATTCACTTTATATTCAGAAACGACTATATCTGTCCACTTGTGTTTTTCACAACTTTATTGTTGATACTGGTGGCATCAAGTTTATCATTTCCGTTAGAAAGTTGCGGTCAATAAATCCTGATACTATAATTGTTCATACCAACGATTTCAGTGTTTCAGGAATTCCTAGCTAACACAATAACTGGAATACTTCTAGTTATCATAAGTATTTATGTAAGGACGCCTTTTTCCTGCTGTGTGCTCGTCCCACGAGAATTTCACTTAGGTCGCAATATAAGAGTCTTTTATATCCCGGACTAATTGACGATACAACAGCGGTTGAATTCACATCAACAGAGAGTCAACATTTTGTGCAGTCAAGATTTGTTTCTGTACCCACCTGCTAACTACACGAATTTTCAACTAGACGCTCAAGCAAGTATGATAATGTTTAATATTCGGAGTAATTTACTAATTGTTAATTCCCGAAATAGTACAATTTATAATAAGTAAAACTGGATGACCACAAATGAATGTTTTCTATTTGAAATTCCTAATCAGCTAACAATTCACTACAAGGGAATCGCTAGTTTGTACAAACATCACAATAAGCCAAAAGACACAAAGGAAGAGAGAGGAATATTCTTGAATATTCTTGATGTCTGTAAGCAAACTGAAAATAGGCAACTATCGCAGTTTGAAAAGAAGTTCGGAGATATGCTACTGGACTACTATACCTTTGTCAAAATATCGACATACTCCTCTTTAAAGGTCAAGAGCTGAATTTTAAAACTAACCCTTGGTGGCAAAATGGTTCGGATGATTGTAGAGGGAATAGAGGAAACTTTCGGTTAACGGGCTTCTTTGTTTAGTAGCAATGGGTCACTTATACCTCCAGGAAGGAATCTGTGTATATTATCGATAAAAGGGGAAAAAGAGATTGGTAAATCATAGTAAGATACTATGCTTAGTCCTTAAGAATATGCCAAGTTTTCTCTTAGAGGACTCCTAGGAAATCGCTTGGACTGTCTCAGCCGGCAGCAAATTCCAACATTTGACTAATCTTAAGGAGTAGAGGTTGTGTCTACAGTCCGTTCTGCTGTGTTGTGTCTCTGGTTTCTGCATGTTACCCCTAAGCTTTGTAATGGAGCTAAACTTAAGTACGTGTTTAAGGGGATGTTCAGAAGTGGTAATGATGCTTTAAGTCATTAGAACGTTACCTTTAAGACGCCTGTACTCCAATTGGTAACGATTTAGTGATTGGAGGCGCTCTTCATAATACTTGAATTTGCGTCCGCGAATTGATTTCGTGGCTCACTGTTGGATATGTTCCATACTTTCCTTATCCTCTTGGAGTGTGGAAGGAAATACTATATTTCCGTACTCTAAGTAGGATAGAATAAAAGTGTTGAAGATTATGTGGAAAGTTCTTCCATCGAACTGGCCAAAAATACTCTTCAATGTTACCAGTGCAAGGTTTGCTCGAAAGTCATTTTCGTCACACTTAGCAAAAAACTTCCAATTGTAGAGTATCAGCACTTCTAAATCTTTTCCAACGTCGTTTACTTTTAGAGAAGATTTGCCTAAGTTTTAGCCGTAGTCTGCAACCCGTCTTCTCTTATCGCCTTTGCACATATTTACCTTGTATGTCTGTATTGCCTGTATGCTTCGTTGTTACCAGTTAGTTTATATTCTGCC